CGGTTGGGTTTGGGTGGGGAGGGTGGGGGAGGGGAGGTAAATATTTGTAAAAGCCTTTTTTTAAAAAAAATTCAATTAAAAAAAAAAGATTTGTCAGTGCTTAGGGCACCAGTAATCCTTAATCCGCCACTGCTACCAATCAAAGTATATTATGAAGTTGCTTTCTCTTTCTCCTCTTTCCCACTTCCATTTTCCAATCTCTCCTTCGTCTTCTAACCGGATACTTCATGTCAAATGGAAGAAAGTAATCACACTAGGGCAAGCCACTTTTATTAACAGAAAGTCTAATCTAAAACAATCCAGCACAAGAAACCCTTCTCAAGTAGGTCACAAACTCATTTTTATAAGAGAAATGGGTGTAATCAAGACTCCATTACTTCCCAAATGCTCAGGACTGGGGTTTCAAAGCTATTGGATTTCAAAAAAATGGGATTCTGAGCTTTGCAGAATCTTATACATTGCAAGTAATTCCTTCACATGGCTTCTCCGGAGATCTGAATATTGGCTTCTATTTTTAAACGATTAAAGAAATCCCTGCACAGTCTTATTCATGCCATTGCAAAAGTAAGTCCTCTGAAACACAGTGGGCTTCACTCCCACAGATATTTATAACAGATGGCTGTCTCTGTCTTATCCTGTTCGATCTTTTGAAACTGGAGATGATTCTGCCAACAGTTAGTCTCCTATCTTTTTTCATACTATATTGAAGCTATGTTGAAATGTAAGAAAAGACTTGTGTGTCATAGTTCTGTGAATACATTTTTATATACTGCAAGAAGATTGGTTCAGTCTTTTTATTTCAGTGTAAATGGGAAAAAATCCATCCATGCTAGATACCGAATGAGGTCAGAGCACTGACAAGGATCAGCTTGCTGATTAGTGTGAGATTGTTTACTGTGTTTCCGTGAAAGATACCTTTTTTTGCCCATGATGGTGTAAATTAAAAGCATGCTTCCCCCCATCATATTTTAAATTACCATAAAATATCTGCAACTGCTTATTGATACTAATCATATTTCTTTCTTCAGCTTCCCTAACCTGATGTCTTCTCCAGATATACAGTGCCACAACTTCCATCATTCCTAGCCAAAAGAACCATAATGAATGGGGAGCGTAGGAAGTGTTAGTCTAACTGACTTGGATGGCTTTAGTTTTGGAAAAACTGCCTTAGTCTGACAGTTCTTTGTATTTGCTCATCTATTATCACTCCCATTCTTTCTCCTCTGCTAATGTATGGACGTTCTGTTCCAATCCCATCACACCCCTTTTTTCCCCTTTCCTCTGATCCAGAGTTGTTTCCACTGCCCAGCCTTCTAAGTCACACCAGTCTGTCATCCACAATTACCCACCGCTCAGCCATAGACCAAAACATTTTGCCATGCTGAAGGTTCCCCATCCCTCCATCCCTGTTCCAGGCTCAGTCCCTGAGGATTCTTATGTGGGTTCAAATGTTAGCTGCAGCTGCAAACTGGTACTCACACCCCTGGGCCAGCTGGGATGAATGCCCTCCTTCACAAAAGCCTCAGTGTCTGATGCTCAGCAGCAGCAGGCTCCTGCTTCCCTCTTGATACCAGATGGAAAAGATGAACAAGAAATGAAGCGTCTCCTTTTGGCAGGCTTCCCCGGGGAGCCTTGAATTAAAGCCGTGGTCAGTCTCCATTCCAAACCCAAATGCATGGTTGAGCTGAGAGTGCATGCAAGAGCCCAGCATCCCTTCCTGCATCTCTGAGCTCAGCCAGATCCAGAAAGAGCGTGCAAACCCCTGCAGGAACCACCTACCTTTGAACATGAATCTTTCTTTGTCTCTGGCTGTGAACCTTCGGGTGGGGTTTCTCCTGACTTTTTCCTGCCCCACAGGCGCCTATGAGATTCTGGTCGTCTTTGTTTTTTCCGTAAGTGCCCGTACCCCTCTTTTTTTTCCTTCTCCAATGGATATTTCAGATAAGCAAAAGATGCTGCTGCTGCTGCTGTTACCACGATCACGTGATCTGAATATTAAACATCGCTGCAAAATCTCCCCCACACTCTGCCTCCCTCTCTTCCCAGGATCCAGAGCATTATCATTCAAGCATCTGGGAGACCTTGATTGGATTGATGTGCATTAAATTGTGCACTGGCTTCTGAAGGGAGGTACTGCTGGGATATGAGGAATAGCAGTAGCCTGAAACATGTCCCCTCCCCATCACATATATAAATGTTTCCTTCTCTGCCTGGTCTCAACACCCTCCTTCCTTCTCTCTGTTCCCAGGCAGCATTCATATGGCTTTGTTTGCCGAGCATCTCTAGAGGCAGACACTAGTTAATGGACGAGGATCATTAACCCCTTCAACAGTCATAGCATTCACACGTAAGGAAAAGAGGAAATAGATTCCACATCTAGGTATTCAGGGATTTTCATCTTGGCCCTTGCTTTCAAGGAGGTTATGATAAATCTTGTGACATTTTGCATCCACTCATCATCACAAGATGCTAGCAACAACAACAGGGAATAAGGTACTGTATGGCAAGACATGATATATGTTAGCAATGATTTTACATGTCAACAATGATGCAGGCAGGGAGAAATCTGCCGTTGTGTTAATCTGAGTAATGCACACTGGTGTGTCTCCCTGTGTTTGTAGGCAATTTGCACAGTTGTCATGGTAAGTATAAATGCCTTAGAAAAAAACATTTCCATAACTGGCATCTATACTTACTTTGACAATATGCAGAGACCTATTTGCAATGGGAAACACTGCGATCCAGGATAAACTCTACAAAAGACATACAGTATATATTACTTCATGTGAAATTTATATATGTGTGAATTTTATGAGCAGGCATGACTTTATGGTAAATATCTCACATATGATTTCTGATGCCCATAGGCAAGATTTCTTAAAACACAAAATATTCTGGGTGCTAAAGGAAAGACTAGGAATCTGTATAACTGGACCAGAAGTCTGCACAGTAATTTCCCAATCAGCTGGAATGAACCATATTCACTGAATTCATTATTTTCTTATTTAATATTTGGAGAACAAGAGTTCAGAATGGAGATGGATCTAATTTGGAGTCAGGATTGTGGATGTTATGTGCATTGGAGAGCTAAACTACAGAGAAACTATACTCAACTACCACGTTTCCCGAAAATAACACAGGATCTTATTTTCTTTTGACCCCCGAAACAAGCACTTGGCCTTATTTTCGGGGAGGTCTTATTATTTTTTAGGTGCAGGAGGTAGTGAACGTGGTCACTTCATGGTTGCTGCTGTGTTGCAATATTTGGGGGGGGGCAGCTTATTTTGGGGTGAGGGCTTATTTTAGTACATGTGCTCAAAAGCCTGATTGGGCTTATTATCCAGAGAGGTCTTATTTGGGGGAAAACAGAATATTAAGTAGAGTGCATGTCAGAATGCAACAGCTTTCAGATCCAACTGTTGGAATTCCTATCTACAATGGAAAAGAGATTGCCTAGAGACTGTGACGTTGAAAAACAACTACCAGTCAGCACACTTTTCTTCAACTAGGTTCCACCAGATACTGTTTCTGACACTCCTAGCTAATGTTCTCCATATTATTTGAAAAGCCTGAAATATATGAGGAAAAGAACAAATAGAAGAAAGCCTGCTATAGACAAGACTGAGTTAGATGGGCCAATTGTTTTATATCAGGCAGATTCTACTATCTGTGCTACACTGTCTAATCTGGAAGGAGAACAAATGTTCACAGATGTATTATGACCCTTCCTTCACTAAGCTCAGGCTCCCATAGGTGAACCAATCACTTACTGTGTTCACAGACAATTGGAGAAATATCTATTCTGCTCCTAATCAGAGGTCTCTTAGAAATAGCTATTTTCACTTAACAGTACAGCACTATATGACAGTACTGTCACTTCAATTGAAATGATATCAAGTAGCATAAAAGTATCAGATGAGATAAAGAACCAGCCTGATGTGATTAAATCATTGATTTGCTGCAATGTGATTAACTGTTTTGTTTGGTCTGCATATGGATTTCAATAGACTTCCTACATTTACTGAAATTCTAGAGCAGGAGTTCAACTTATCTGGAGGGCAGAAAGTTGGCGAATGCTATTTTATACATGCTACTCATTTAATGCTTATATTTTTAAACCACTTTAGAATGCTATATTCTTATACTGTCTGTCCTTTTCTACATAGGTAGTCCTCAATTTATGACCACAATTTTGGGCTCAATTGTTGGCTTAAGTCGAGAACTACCTGTAATATGAAAAACAAAACAAAAACACAGATAACTCATGGATCTGATTTTATATTTCTGCACAGCCGGTGCTCTGAGATAATAAAACAATATTCAGCCAGAATACAGTTTCATGGAACATGCAGCCCATAGTATGCCATTATTAACTGAGAGACTACGACCATTGATTTCATATACTGTATGTACAACAATATGTAGCAGCACTTACCATTTTGGGATGTACATTCTGACTCAGTTGCATTTACCACAGAAATGGTTGTAGGATTTTTCATAGAAGAGTGATCCATAACAGCTTGCTCTTCAGGATACTCCTGAAGAAAGGGAGGGAGTATCTTAAGAGACCCTGATAAGCCCCGGAGTGTAACTCTTGGAATGCCATTTCTGGCCATGGATACCTGGGCTTTGTGTACAGCTTCTACCAGGATAGAATTCATGAGATCCTTTCCCATGGTTTGGGTATGTCCCTGACATGATGGAAAACTAACAAAGCCTATTTTTTTCATTGAATCTGGTGTTTCTGTCTCTGAAATCTGGATTGCATCTTCAAGAGAGGAGCTGGTTTGTGCATCAGGAATGAACTCAACTGTACTCTCTGGCAAGGTTTGTAATCCAGACAGCAGCTGAGGACGTGGCAAAGACTGTTTTTTGAACCTCCCTGGTGTTTCCCCCATTGAAGATACCTTCTGGAATTCTCTTCTTGCCATGGGATGCCAAATGAGTTGCCGGCTGGTTGGAGGAACGCTGTTGCTTTGATGAAAAGTAAAAGACATGGAGCTGAGTTTCTGTTGTTCCAAACCATTAGTTGCTTTATGCTGAAGTGACTGGTATCTAGTGGGAGGAGGACACGAAACCTGAACATCATGGCTCCCTGGAGATTTAGGAGAAAGAAGCCTAGAAGCAGGTCTGGGAATCCCTTTGCCTTTAGCCAGAAGAGTCTCTTTGGGAGAACCTTGCACGAATGAGGGGTTCTTTTTCAAGCTAGGGTTAACAGACTCTAAACCACCAGTCCCAGGTGAGCGAGCTGAACATCCTGGAATGCTGCTGCAATGAGGGGAAGTGCCTAAAACTGGGAGACACCTTCGGATCCTGTGTGGAGAGGGAGTGCAACCTTTATCCATCATGACTAGTGGTTGCCTTTGTTTTTCCTAATGAAATAAAAGCAAGTGAAAGATTAAAGAAGTTAAAATTGCTTTTTAACTGTTTTCAGCTATTAGGAACCTTTAGATCAACAGGTTTTACAGCACTGGAAGATTTTCCTAGTGAAAGAAGTTTTGAATACAAGCTTAAGTGTTAAAAGCATGGTTTTTTCTGGACTAAACAGCAAATTAAAGCTTTGATTTTATAAGGTTAAAAATGGACTAAGGGTCCAGATAAATTTGAAATAAAATTTTGGATTTTAAGAATCCTACTATGGGCAATTCTTTGAAATCTTAAAAGAGAGATGAAGTTTTAAAAAGTGGATATTAGAAGGAACTAGAAGATTACAATTAAAGGAGAAGAACATTCACTTGACTTAAATCATATGGAATGAAGCAAAATATTTTATCATTGTACATGTTGAAGGATATTTTTGAACAATGGACCCAGAAGGTTTTTTTTTTAAGTTTAGTCAAAAGCTGCCTAGAGTTATTTTAAAGGGGAGATTGACAACATAAAAATTTAACAAATAAATAAGTAAATAAATAACATTATTTTTAAGAAGGTATGCCATTACAGATAGGCTGTGGTTAAAAAATGTTATGGAAGAACAAGTTTACCAGACAAGACAGACTGTTTTGAAAGTGGGTTTAAAAAATACAGTTTACAAGAATGTTGAAGGAAAATACTACATTGGATATACAAATAAAATCATTTGTATGTCTTAATAATTAAAAGGGATAAACAAATTTAAAAAGTGATATGGATAACTTCCCCAGATTGAATTTACAAGAGATTTGTTAAAATTTTGAGCAATTTTCTGAAGTGACACAGAAAAAAATGAAAAGAAATTAAATTTATTTGAAATGACTATAGATCAATATTGTTAGAAGTAAAAAGAAGGACTATAAAGTTGGTTTATTGATCAAGGTTAATATATATATATATGTTGTATTTGTGCTGATAAATAAATAAAGGGAGACTAGTATAGATCTATTTCAAGCTATTTAGCTCTCATCAGCTAGCCATACCCTTACTGGGATTCAGCACAAATACAACACATATGTAACAAAAGGCAACAGTAAAAATATTGGGTTTCTGTCTGGATGGTCTCTTGTGACGAGCCGATGGACAGAGAGTGGAAGCACTAATATATATATATACATATATTAGATTTTTTACAACCCCTGGTAAGCCCCAATTATGGGAGGAAGCTAACTGCTTCCATCATCTGTCAATCGGCTCGTCACAAGAGTCCATCACGACAGAAACCCAATATTTTTACTGTTGCCTTTGTTATATTTGTGTTTTTTTATCAGCACAAATAACACACACACACACACACACACACACACACATATATATTCATATTCTGCTATCTCTGATAATTCTTAATAGACTTTTGCTAATATCAGGACTAAAATGACTTTATGGATATGGGGGGAAAATATGGGGAAAAGTCGGCAACTGTAACTGGCAATGACTAGTGGAGTAAAATCCGTAGGGACACCTTTCCTTTCTTTTAATGGGAAAAAGAGATCATTTTTTTGAATTTTAAGAGAAAGTGCTAAGTTACTAAAATAGTTTATACTTGTGATGAATCGTCACTTTTCCCTTCTTTATATACTTATTTTCTGTCACTTTACTATATTTTTATTTATTCTTTTTCAATTTTGCTTTCTATTTATCCTTTTCTTTTCTGCATCTTCTAATTTTTTCTTTTTCTTTTTTAATTTGTATTAATTTTTTAATGTTGTAAATTGTATTCTTTAATAAAAATTACTATTAAAAAAACAAGAAATACAATTCCTGGTTGTCCCTCATCCTAATTGTGTTTCTGATCAACAGGCTTAGTGATCTTTTGATAGACTTTTATAACTTTTATTTGATTAAGGGTGCAGTGTGAAGACTTTTTTTTACCATGTCTTCCAAAATTCTATTAAGTTTTAGTCCCAGGCTTTTGAAGAAGACCTGATTGGGAATGGCTGATGTAAGCCATTGAAGAGATAATCTCTCAGTCCTCTTAAAAGCTCTTGGGTCTAAGATATAGCTTGGCTATTCTGACCAAACATTTATTATTTTTTCAAAGGATTCTTATACTGAAATATAATGATAAATGCTTACCTGGTAATGTAAAGGCAGAAAGCAGCTGAATGCTCATCAGGAACATCCCAAAACAATCTTTTATGGATTGCAAAGGATCCCATAAAGATATTTACATGAGCTTTAACAAGGCATATTAACCCCAAGACATCCAAACTTTCTGGATGACATGAAGAATATGTTTGTCCCTCTTTCAAATGTCTTGCTCTTCTCTTTCTCTGCCTACTGTGTCCTCTTTTAGCTGTGGAGTGTTTTCTCATTCTCTTGAAGTGGGAGAAAGAGCAACTGGGGTGCTTGGAGCAACACTTTGCTGGATGCAGAGACAAGGAGTGGGCACAGGCTTTGAATGAGAACACTCATAAACAGCTTTGAATTGGAAATTGTAAAAAGGAAAGAAGTACATTCTGGAGATCTCACTGCATGTAAGCATCTAGGAACAGCATATAACATTATTCTTATGAAGCACTGTACGGACAATAAATATAGGAAAAGGCATCATATTATAGGAATTTTTCCTCCATTGCTGCATTAACGAGCATTCCTCGAGTCACCAACTTGGCAAAAAAAGTCTGCCTGCTAAATAGTGCTGCACCAATAGTTTCAGTGACAATGCTGGTGATTGTTGCTGTCCTTATGTTTTCAACATGAGACACTTTAAGGCAGCAATTGCTGGAGTCCCCTGGCTGCATTTCCCCTTTAATCAGTGTTACATAACAGGTAGGAAAATCAACCAGCAATTGCTGTCCTTAACATGGTAGGCCAGGTTTGAGCAGTTGTGAGCAAATGCCTGGAATGTTTCAGGTTATCTGAATGTTACATAGCCAACAAAGAAGTCGTGCTACAGACCTGTTAACTTGGTCTATTTATGAACACAAATCTACTGCTCTTATGAAAAGGTGCTGGATCTGTTTAGCTTGCATCTGTTTGTCTTCTAGAAGACTGCTAAACTCATGTGTACTGGCTGCTCATGCAAGAAGGTGATATGGATTGAAGGAGGAAGGAATAATAATGTCAGTTATTATCAATTCCCATGCAGCAGAGCAGACCTAAGTTGGACAATTTTTTTATTGCTAGGTAAATGGAAGGAGATTTCATAATACAAAAGTATTACTCCTATGTGCAGATTACAATTTGATATATTGGACATACTGCAATCTCTATGTAAGGGGAACATGTCCATATGAAGAACAGTTAAAATTGATGGAACTGGAAAATATACATATTTTAGATACAGTATATCATATCTCTAACATTTTTATAATACCCCTGCTTTTCCCGCAGAGGCCTGACAGGAACAACTGTCTTCACATCAAAAGCAGCCTTTTAGTTTTTACAAGTATATTGGCATGTTTTAAAGAAAACATCTGTAAATGTTCAATAAATGCTTTTCTGGTCAGTTATTCCTAGCCCAAAAGGACAAAAAAGAGAAGTAATATGTGCAGAGTTTTTAAGTTTCACTTGAAAAAGGGTGGCAAGTGCCTACAATCCTATTAAAATTGTCTCTAGTTCACCACCACATGCCTTCATCTATTTGACTCAGACTCTGGCTTCTGCCTGTTTTACGTTTAATTTTAAGGCCATATTTGATTGTCTTGATTTATCTATATCATATGATGTGGCTAAGGGTTATGTCAACTGAAATGTGAAATACCCGGGCAGAAATTTTGGGAGAAAGTGCCTAGACCCTTTGACTTTCATAGTAGCCCTCATAGTAGCCCTCTCATGGAAATAATGTATCAAGCATTTATTTGTAGGGAAGGAAACAACAGCAGGAATGGGCCGAACAATATGCTTTTTGTGTAACTTTTGAAGGGCCTAAAATCCAAGCATTACTTCCATTCCAGGCTTTGAATCTCCCACACTCTTGCTAATCTAACTCTTCAACCACTGGAAAAGTCTAAATAACTACCTAAGCCAATGAGGATGGTTTCTTCAGTTTTAGGTCATTTTTCCCCCTTATATTCAATTGTGTCTGATTCTCAGAGACTGCCCAGACAAGTCCCTGCAGTTTACTTGGTAAGATTTTTCAGAAGTGGTTTGCCATTGCCTCCTTCCTAGGACTGAGAGAGAGTGATAGGCCTAAAGTCACTCATTTGGCTTTGTGCCCAGGGAGCAACTACAACTCATGGTCTCCTGGTTCCTATCTTGATGCTTTAACTACTACCCCAAAACTGGGTCTTTTACGTGAGAGAATCACGTTATATTTGTTTATCATGTTTATCAGGGCAGAATTTATAATGTCAATGCAACAATATAAATGTTTTTAAATGGTAACACTCGAATATGTTTATTTGGCACACCATACCACATCTCGGCTGCAAAATCTGGATGATACTGGCTGATGGCAGAAAGATACCCCCCCAAAAAAAAGAGATTTTGTTTTTTGTTACCATATAATTATGTTCATGTTGTGTAGCCAATGTTGCCTAGCTCTAGTTTATATCCATAGCATTCAATGTAACTTTATTATCAACTGATTTTAAAGTGGAAGCAAAGATTTTGTTCTGTATCATGTATCCTGTCTTTTATTTAACAATGGAAGATGAGGTTATAAATCCATTTTTAAAAAGAGGCAATAAGTTCCTAATTTGAAAAATGAGACAAGATTGTGGGCATTTCAGTTCCTTTCGGTAATATTATATCAGAGTTTACCTACATGTGTATTCATATTAGGTCTGTGTAATTTGCGTCAGCGGTGGGATTCACTTACCTTCCCTACTAGTTCGTAAATGTGAATGCACGTGCCACATTTGCACATGCTTACCATTTTCTGTGCATGTTCAGTGCTTGTGCATTAAGTTGCGGTGGGTGGGCGGAACCTCCCGCAGCCGCCACTACCAGTTCACCTGAACTGGAGAAAACCGGCTGAGTACCACCTCTGATTTGCATGGTATCTTAGAATACACAACTGATCATTGGTTGCTAGTATTTCAACTCATAAACATATTTGTGATGTTAGGTTGTTGGGGTCCTCTGACCTTGCTTTTCTTCTTGCAGACTTTTCATCATCAGGCCATGTAACATTATCAGTGGAGTGAGAACAAGGTTTGCTGGTTGTTTATATATGGCATGAACATGATAAACAAATATAGCATGATTCTCTCACCTAAAAGAGAGCCAGTTTGGGGTAGTAGTTAAGACATCAAGTCAGAAACCAGGAGACCAGTAGTTCTAGTCCTACCAACCTTGACTGAAGTCAGACAGTTACATTCTGAGCTACCTATATTCTCCTCCATTGCAGGTATTTGTGAATTTGGATGTTAAATTTCTCAAGAAGTCCCATCTGAGACAGATAAGAATCCACGCAAATGCTAGCTATATTTTAAAAAGTACATGGGGCCAAAATATACATACTACAATCATACAATTTAAATGGATGAAAAAACAGGCAGATATCTTAATTTTTTTAACGTATTCCTGATCAGGATTGAAGGGTGCACCAGTTTTATAACGTAAAACTTCCAGAATAAGGTTGCTTCCCCGACTAAAAAGTACTATATGTGTGTTTTGGCCTCCTACTTTCATTTATTTGACTTCTGTGACTGAGTCTTCATTAGCCATACTGCTGCACAGTTCTGATTTTTTGATATTTTTATGTACATATCTTTTAGTAAATAATAGTAAATATCAGTTTTCTGATTACTTAAAAAGTTATGTATCATAAATAATTTCATCAGTTAGCCTACATTACATTAAGGTTTATGTAATTACCTAAATCTAGTTATACATTTCCCAAATTAAATATTGCATTTAGATTTACTTACAATTTGGGTACTACTATAGAAAAGGAATAGTTGTTTTTCCAATTAGGGTAAATTACATCAGAATTAATTTATTTACCTATGTTCCATGATGTCATAAACAGAATTAAAGCCACCTACCTCTTCTCCAGGGGTGTCAAACTCACATTATCATGTTGTCATCATATGACATATCACAGCTTTTTTCACCTTTGCTAAAATGGGGGTGGGCGTGGCCAGTGCATGACGCATCCGGCCCTTGGGCCGCGAGTTTGACACCCCTGCTTTACTCTTTGTTGAAAGTGAATTATTAAAAGAAATGTCCATTGATGAAATAATCCAAGAATTTGCAAATAGAAAATGATGTAAAATTAAAATGTAGATAATAAATTTACACACATACATAGAAAGGTTGCTGTCTGAATATGGTGATATTTACTTTTCTCAGTTCTTATAATTTAATTTAACAAGTTCCTGTTAGGATTATTAAATTATCTTGGTAGCATTTAATATCTGACTGAGCTTTTAATTTTAATTGTATGCATATTTTGTCTTTTGTATTGGTATTTTATATATGGATGGTATACATTTTCAGAGCCAAAAGGCAACACATAAAATTAAATAATCTATTCATTTTTATTCTAATTTAAAAAGAAATTAGCACATTTAGATAGGCTCAAGGCACTATGCCTCTTGTGTTTAATGGATGTTTTGGTCCTGCAATTCATGTAGTTGTTCATATGCATAAAAAAGAGGAAATTCTTTGTCTCAAACAGAACAGTAGGCTACATTATGCTTATGTAAATTTGTCTACTGTGAAAGGAACGAAATACTAAGACAAGGTATTGATTGACTCTGACTTGTTTATTAGAATTCTGTTCAAAATAAGCATTACCATTATAAAGCACAACCATTAATATTACAATACATTTCATCAAAACAGTTTATACCAGCAAACAAGTCAAATTGATTATCTACTTTGCAAAATATAGAAAGTGCTATTGTAGTTTTTATTTCAGATTCTGAAGCAAATGAATTAAATTCACAGTTCTGTACTAGATCATCTGACAGAAGGAGAAATGGTATACAGACTATCATGGTAGAAGCGATGATCAGATGGTGTTTCTGTTTTCTCTGTCCCCCTGCAAAATATTCTCAAAAGCTTCATTCAATCTAACAATTTCTCAATTGCTAAATTTCAGAGTTCCCTGAATACATGATATTCTGTAAGAAAGAATATTTCATAGATATGCTAATATTTATCTGTTATTAGACTGATAAGGTTATGGGAAAAATTTTGAAGCTTTGTTTTAATATAGCTATTTGTACTTTTTCTATATCTGGACCAATATTATAGAGCATAATAGTCTGACAGTATTAGGAGTTAGCATCATTGGCCATTTTGTACAATTGTGGTGGTTTAGAAATCTGATTAGCAGATAGATCCACGGACCAAATTCTAAGGTTCACAGTTCTATAGGCATCCTCATTCTGACCATCACAATCTACAGCCCTCAGCACTTTCTCCTTAGCAGTGAACAGTATGGTACTATGTCTCTGTACTTTTCCCAATAGGCAAATAATGATGATGGAGAAGGAGCATCGTGTGCACTCATCTTGTGCTTTACCCTTCTGGACCCCTGTACAAGTTAAAACTGTACAAGGTTTACTTGATGAAAACTCCAACCACCCCCGAACATCACATGCCAGGCACAGCTGTAGAGCTTTCTCTGGATGTATTCATTTAACATCAGTCTTAACAGCATGAACATAATTTTAACAACTCTAAGGCAGAGAATCATCAGCACAATGCAGTTTGACAATAAATTATCCAGTCCAGAGAATGAAACACCTTCGTAACAATTCTGAGGACAACTGGATTCGGTCCAGGATCCCTCCAATTCCACGCTCCCCACAGTAGAGCAGCATTGTTCAGTATTAATCAATTTAGGGGACATAAAAATATGATATTTCAGAGCTGTTTAAGTTACACTGTCAAGTAGCAGATTTAATCTCATTGAGGAAAAACAATGCACATATTACTTTCTAAGCATAGTTTAGTTTTAGGCTGAATATTTTAAAAATTCCTAGTAGTCTAAAAAAGCTCAACTCCTGATCCTCCCAGTACCCATTTTTTCAAGTAAATACATTGTTTCTGGGATTGAGGCATTTATGTTTTTCTTTGCAAAATGTTTCTTTGCTAATTAAAAAAAAGTTAGAAGCAGAACAGATCTGGCATCCAAAAATAAGTACTACATACTTCAAATTGACCTAATTTTGTACAAAGATATATGTACTCATGTTCCTATTTATTCAGAATTAATGTTTAATGCTTTCTGTTTAGTTTGGTCCCTAGTTAAATGCAGTTAGGATTTGTACAGTTTTTAAAATCTGAAATAGAACTATTTAATTTTTTAATTAATGTTTTAAGTATGACTTTTTAAAAATCAGCATGATCCAAAGATCTTTATGATTAAAGAAGTACTACTTTAATCATAAAATATGTGGGTTTTTTCTCACAAAAATGCACCATATGGCTGTCCATTTATGTATGCTATAATATGAGTTCAGAGCTAATACTGGTGTTATATTTGCAGATGAAGTTATTGTGTAAGATAGGAATATTTCATATGTACACATAAAATGTTCACAAGGAAGCTGGCACTTATGGACAATATAAAACTTGACAACAGTTAAACAGTTAAGAATTGGTGCACAAAACAGGAGAAGGAGCCAAGACCTGAGACAGTGCAGCCAATGGCTCTCAAGATGCTGTTGGAATTGATGTCCATCAAGCTCAGTCAAATGGCTGTGAGCAGGCATTGTGAGAATTCAGTAGTATCTGAAAGGCCAGCTATGTTCTAATCTTCTTTTAAAATAATTTTCAGTAATCTTAAAAAACAGGAGTAATGAGCTCTTTTTTATAGGTAATTTTTAAAATTCCATTATAAGAAATAGCTTAGTTACATTGTATTTTTGTCTAATTTTTTTCCTGATAGTTAAAAGAAAAGAAGTTGAAAACGTATTGTAGATTTCATACTTGTTTCCTGTTTGAAAATTGAGTTTTCCTCTTACCATAGAAAGTATAGAAACAGAACAGAGATCTCTCAAATGTTAACAAATCTCTCATTCATTATTGGATAATAAAGAGCCATTAACAGGTGGAAATATAACAAGAGAATTGATGAGTCTAGCTATCAGGGTCAAAATTAAGATTACTAGACATACTGATCTGAATGGCTAGGTTCATCCCCCATTTTAGTTGAAAAGTAGGATAAATAGCATTGCTTACTCACAGTACATATTCATACTAATTATTTGGATTTTGGACTGAAATAAAAGCACACACAGAAAGATGACTTAATTGCTTAAACACTCCTTAATGGTTGTTTTGACCCTCTGGTAATGTTACACTCAAATGCAATGTGAAAGCATGCTCACAACATTGATTCTGGATGGATATTGGACATGCTACAAATGCATTCTATTTTTTATCACAAGTGATAACAGTCCTGAGGAAAAAATCAGGAGAAAGGTTTAGTGCAAATCAGTGCCATAATGCCCCCTATGCCCATATATTGCAACTGTACATTAGCTATGAAAGAATACTGTTTCAAAGTTTTATATTTGTTAATAAATGACTTATTGCTACCCCATTGCTATGCTTGGGGGTTGTTCATTTGCATTGGTAGTCTAGTTGCCAGAAAAGAGAATCAAGACTCAGAAAAGAGGCCTCTAAGTATCACTCAGAGACTATGGCTGTAGCTAGCAGCAGTGCTGATGGATAAGTCACAGACAGAGAAGAATGGCTATTTATATACGGGATGAGAAGAGGCGGGTATTATTTTAGGAACTATATGGTGTTGCTGTTTCATTGTCTCCTTATAAAAATAGATCAGGTGATACAAATGTAGAAGCAAGCTTGTTTACATACCCTTTCTGGCTCAGACAAAGAATGCTACTGATCTTACAAAAATGCATGCTTCCACGCCCCTTCCCCATCCTACTGTAAAAATAGATGACAATTTGCCACCTTTTGATAGCATCAAACAGTTGCAATTGTAACATAAAATTTGGCCTTTTCATTGCATGTGCAAGAAGCTCTGAACTGGGAACACTTAACATTTTGGAAAATTTAAGATACTTTGAATACTTAAAATGACACACAGCACATGATTTCAAGCCAGGAATCCATTTTGCTGCATTAGCTGTTTTTAGAAGTGGAAATTTTCTTACCTGTTATGTATATTGGAAATAAAGAGTCCCATGCAAATGTTATTTTCAGGAATGATGCCTGGAACAATATTCACATTGACCCAGCAAAAGGGCTTTGAGACAAGTTCCCCTCTCTACAAAAGCAACATTGCTCTAATGATATTAATGGTATCCTCAAACATCTACCATAACTCCCACATAGTATCACAAATTGCCATGTACTATACTTAAATTCAGTTACTGCTGAAAAATTGGTCAGCTGTTTTCAAGTGAGAGGAATGGCCGGCTATGAACCCATGACCAACTCATGGTGAACTGATCAAACGAGAACAAGAGAAGAAATTGAACAAAGTCTTTCTGTGCTATATTGTTGTCAGGGTCTATGGCACTGCATTAGACAATGGAAGCTGTCAAGTGTAGGTGAGGTAGATGTGAGAGGAAATTACAGATGTAGAAAAAGATCTTTATGCTACACCACTAATTCCAATGAAGTATGTAATGTACAGAAAGATTTCCAATATTCAAGGAATTATGAAGTCGAGTACAGTGATACCTCAGGACTCATCCTTAATTGGTTCCGTGAGGTGCGATGAGTGCCAAAAATGATGAGTACCAAGCAATCTTTTCCCATAAGGAATAATGTAATGAGTCACAAAGCAACTGACACTGATAAGTTCTAGCTTGTGTGTAAAGTACCAAACTGATGAGTACCGGGACAAAATTTTCACATCAAAATGCATTGAGTACCAAAAGCATTAAGTACCAAGGTATCACTGTATACAGATACTATAACAACAATGTTTATACATTCTTAACTTGGAATGTGTACCTGCAAGCACATTGAAGAAAGAAAGGCACGTGTTCCTAGCATGGAATGTGTACAAGAAGAGCTGGTGAGCATACTATTCCGCTCCTGCCCCAAGATATAATAAATGGAACCAATGTATTAAGTTAGCACAACTTGAGATATTATGTCATCAATGGAATAAAACTGCAATCAGTGATGCCTTAATGCAATTCAGCAAAAACAGTATATTTATAATAACATAGGACTCTAGAGTTTGTTATTGTGTAATTTTCATAGAAACTGAGATTATTAATAATCTCTTTTGTGCATATAGTTATGTTTGCACCAGCTATAAAGAATTATACACCAGCTTTAAAGAAGATGTGGACAATGTGCAAGCATTCTACATGGATACTACTAACCCATATCATATACAATGTAGTTGTGGAAAATTGCACTAGAATTATGCAATCATGGTCTGTAGTTCAGTAGCTCTTAAATAAGATGTACGTAGGTAGACTGTGTACTTCTACATTGTATAGTGTTAAGATCAATTATACATATAGAAAGAATAGGGCTAGATGGGGCATTTGAGTTTTAAAAGTCTTATCCACTTCAACAGACACAGCAGCAGAGAACTGGAAAAGTGCTGCAGTTCAAATTCTAAGAATAAGGAATAAGGAAAGGTGAAAGATCCCATTCTAAATAATGAACATAGGTTATTTTTTCTCCATCCTTAACCTGCACAGAATATGTCCTTCAGCATATCTGAGCTCAATGCTGGAAATGAAAAAGTATATACTGTAATCCATTAGGATGTTTAAAATCCAAGTGATTTTTAAAAATGGCATAATGTCAGATGTGTTTTCAGAGCACCCAGAATCTATACTGATTATCCTTGTAGTAAAACATAACCATCTAGTTCCTCTTTAAGTGTAACAATTTCCAGCAGATTAATTTATTTACAGAGGATCCAAAAATTCAAATGATGGTATAATGTACGGAGCTTAATTATTAAAAGTTAAAACCAGAAGCTCCAAGGTGACATTATTTAAAAGGTGTATTTTAGAGAAACTAGCAAAGAATACTTCATTAAAAAAGAGCCACATCACAAAGAATGAAGTTATGAACTGACCACATAATGAAATTGTCCTGAACAAACCAAATGTTTATCTGTCCTGGGGAGCAGAATACTAAACTTCAGGCACTCCAAATCCTAGATTATCTCGTATCATCAATGTTTTCCGGAGGTCTCGCTCCATGATTGGTCTTTGTGTTCTCCACTTGTGTGCTTCCTGAAGTCCTGGCTCAAAATAGTATATACAAGCTCCAAAGCCCACCAATATGAGAATTGAGATCATCAAATACATTGGCACAAACCAATCCAGGAAATGAGGCATAACCACTAGACAAAAGGAAAGAAAATATAAAGAGCTGGTATTGATGAATAGAAAAAATACAATCTTATTTATTTATCTAAAACATTGCCATATGCTAAATAAATAGATAAATCTAAAACATCTATATAAGTACCTACCTTTCCACCAACTCTGGGGAACTCCCAATCAAAGAGTAAAAGACATATTAAATGATTTTAAAAACTATAAAACAGACCCAGTTAAAACATAGAATATTAAAAACAACAAAAACCTGCCCCAATCCGAGCGAATGTCTCTTCATCCAATTTTTTCCTAATGCTTGGGGGGAAAGCCAGACCTGATGAACTCGAAGGAGCAAGATGTTTGACAGGGCATGGGTTATCATGGAAAAAAGTACACTTCTAGCTCCCATTAGATGACAATATTTGGGGAAGGAACAAGGAGTGTGCCCACCCTATCTGATCTGATAGGAAGGGTAGATATCCTTAGGGAAAAGCAGTTCCCCAGATATCATGGCCAGGTGCACATAGAACTTTAAAAATGATAAGCTTGAATTGCAGCTGGAAAAAACAGGAAGCCAAGACAGCTTGCACAACAGAGTGTTACATGGGCAAACTATTACTGTGATGAAATGAAATAAAAGATTATAAAATAATCTTTTTTCTATTAAACCCAAATAACTTACCTTGAAAAGCTGGCCTTTTGATCCTCTAAGACCTTATTTTAGAACTTTTTCTATTCCTAAGAAGAAAAATAATATATCAGAATAAACTATACAAATATGTATATTTGTCCCTTACAAATCGTCAATATTTCAAAATAGATTTACCTATTATTTAAAGCACTTTTTTATTCCTCCTTTCAATCTTGTTACAATATCCAAAATAAAAACAGCAATGTTCCATAGCCTGCTGCTCCAGATATATAGAACAACAACTTGTTCTCTTCCTTGATCTGGTTTAATGTTGAAATCCACATGTATTTTGATATTGAGTGTTGGGTGACTTCAGTCTCAGTTCTTCCTACTTGGGGTTGGCAGGGACATAAATTTCAAGGCCTACATGCTGACAACAATCTTGTCCCAAACAATCTTTGGCACCAACCCTTGTAGGTAGTCATACATTAGATGCTTTGTTCATCTTGGAGCAGTTGTGTGAGGATCTGAATATGGAGGGGATTACTTCTAACTTACTGTCTTGGCCAAAATCACTTCCTAGTCTAACTGAGATTTTCTGTCATTTCTCCACAGAATATGAAAACTTTGATATCTGGGATGGTGAACCTATGGCACCTGTGCCACAAGTGGCACGCAGAACCATTTGTCAAGGCATGCAAGTGTTGCCCTGTCAGCTGGCCAGCTGAGTTCAGCCTTTTTTAAAGCCATTTTTCGCCCTCCCCAGGCTCCAGAGGCTTTATAGGAGCCTGGAAAGGGTGAAAATAGCCTTCCCCCACCCCCCTGGGAGGACCTCCAGAGGCTTCAGGAGCTTCCCTGAAGCCTCCGGAGCGCAAAAAAAAACCCAGCCCTATGGGCAAACCGGAAGCACGGGAACGAACTTCTGGTTTGCTCATAGGGTCGTTTTTTGCCCTCTGGAGATTCAGGGAAGTCTCCTGAAGGTCCCTGAAGCCTCCAGAGGGCCTCCAGGGGGGGCAGGGGAGGCTGTTTTCGCCCTCCCCAGCTCCTATAAAGCCTCTGGAGCCTGGGGAGGATGAAAAAAGCATACAAAAAATGGGGGTCACGCCTCTGATGCGTGCATGTGTGCTGGGGGGGTCACGCATTGCATTATGGGTGCAGCACACCCACACACGACCCCCCTGCGCTCCCCCCCTTATGGCACGCGAGCCAAAAAAGTTTAACCATCGCTGCCCTATATGGTTTGGCAACTCTGTATCTTCAGGACCCCTTTCTAATAAGTGTTGACCCTTTTGACGAAATCATCTCTGGAGAAGCTGCTTGTGAGCCCCCAATGCCATGAGGTGAGGAAGCTGAAGACAGAGGGTGCTGCTTTTCAGTCATGACAAGTTAGCTTAAAGCAAAGCTGGCTGCTCCTGGAAGATAATGAAAGTCATATTTTACTGGAGAAACTTTTTAGAGCACCATCTGGAACCAAATTTTGTTCCTAGCTTATTTGGTATTAGATATCAACTGTGACTTTTGGCTATGCCAAAATATATGATTTTATATGTTACATGACTTTTTAGCTATGTTTATTTTATTTTTTTAACTAAATGTTTTGAAATAAAATAATTCTAATTTTGTCAGCTATTTTGACAATGTTATTGTTATAGATCCTAATGCTCCAATTACAGACACATGATGAGGATTCATTTTACTTATGCACCACCTTTTTTTCAGAAACGTGATACTTCTTCCACCAGCTTTCCCCCCACCACAATAACTTTGAGAGAAAGGCTGGACTAAGAGATACTACTGGTCCCCAATCAGCTAATAATCTTTCCTTATTAAAGGTGACTTGGACCTTGGCCTCTCAGTCCTAGACAATACTTAAACCCGAATACTCTATTGATTGAAGCTCTCTTTCTGCTTTGTGCAATGTTTTTTAATTTGTAAACTCAAGGGCAAAATCTATGCATTTTTTTAGAATCATAGAATTACAGAACTGATAGTGAAAGTCATTGGATCCAAAACTCTTAGTGCAACAATCTATTAAAGTATATCTAATAGATTTTTAACCTCTGGCCAAGCACATTCAATGAACGGAAAAATACAACTTCAGAATAATTTTTGTTGTTAAACCGTTATGTAACATTGGGAAGGGTTTTTGCTATTAATGATTTTCATGTTCAGCTGGAATCTGCCTTTCTTACATATTTTACTTGGTGTTCTGCATTCTGGAATGAAAACAGATTTTCTGTGTAGCATCTTTTCAAGTTTGTTTTTTCTCAAGGCTGAATGTTTCCAGTTCAGTTAATTTCTCTTCACAATTTCTAGGCTCCTGAACATTATCTTCTCTGAACCTGTTCCAATTTGTCTGTTTTTTTTAAGTGCCCAGAATTAGGCACAGTTTAGTTTGAAAATACAATAAAATATATGTTTGATAATAGGGGAATATTATTCACAATCCTACAAATTTTTAATTTCCTAGAAATAAGAAATGTTTTGTGTAAAGAGACTCCATCTTAATTGTGTTTTAAAGAAATGTAGAAATGTCCATATTGAACAAGAAAAATATGAACTTGGACCTCATTTAAATCTCTGTATACTATTAAATGTCTTTTGATATTAAAAATATCTTCAGGGAGACATATTTGATGAATTTTATCATGTGCTGAGTCCAGTCAAAGATAGTTTTCCAATCAAATGGTCCAGCTATGGTCAAGTACTCAACTATTCTGGGAAAATCCATACTTTTAGCCAACAGAACGGAATGTTCCAGAGCCCCAAAGTTCTGTTTCCCTTCCAGAAATAACAAATATAAATCATGGTGATGTGACAATGACAAAGTATTTACTGTGACATTACAGTGCAACCTTTGGCCTTTTGTATTGTATTGTGGGTTTGGATGCAAATATTTGTATAATGGCATTGGATGAAAATCATGTAGTCTGTGCCTTGTGGTGCTGCAAGTTTCATCATTTATTCCTCCCTTGCCCCATTCACGGAAACCTCTGTTCCCCTTGTAGTGATGTCAGAGAAATAAAATAGAGAAGCTATATTCCTACAAATGGCTGGTTTTGTGAAACTCTTGGTTGTGCCAGAGACATAATGTAGATAAATTAGAAAGCAATTTTCCTGTTTTCCAATATAGAATCAAATCCTGTCTTAAAAGGCTGTCTTAAAAGGCTTTTTTTATCAATAAGATAACAATATGGGGATTTTTAAAGGGCTACAATTTAAAAATTGCTATAAAGAAACACCAAAAAAAGGAACTTAATTCCAGAGCTTTGCAGTGCTGTGATAACTCATTCTGATACTTTTTTAAAATTACTTTGTGGTCTAGATCCAGTTTACCTCTGCCCTCTCTTTAGACCAATCCTGTGGGACCTTTATGAAAAAAAAAATACTTAAATCTTTTCTTTCAGAGAAGATTACTTTAAATGTTCATGCCAATGCCCTTGAATTATGTAACCCTCTGCTCTTTTTCTACTTTTGACTTTGCATTTCAATTTGTTTTGTGTTTTGAACTGGATTACTGTTTTCCCCAACTAAATTAATTTCAATTTAGTCTAATTTTAATATTACCCAAAGAAATCACTTATATACTTTAATTCTGTGTGTTTTATGTACAGTATGCCACTAAAGCATTTAACTGAAAGAAATTACTGCATGCATGACAATAGGTTATCATTTGATAATAGATTATAATTAGAAGAGCTTTCAGTGAATGGATCCTAAAGGAGGTAATCTATAGTTCAAATCAAGTTCTTGAACACAACTAGTAACACTAGAAAGCTAAGACTCAACTAACGTCATAGCAAAAATAATAGAGCCAAAGAACCAACCCAAGAAAGTCCTCCAAATAACAAGCACATTTGACCCTAAATATTTTGAAATCATCCTTGGAATGGAAACAATCAAACAACAAGAAGCTGCTTGCAATAGCTTCTAAGACCAAAACAGAATATTGTATTGTCCATTGTCTAATTATCTTAAAGCTACATTTTGCAATATAAAAATCGTATCCACTTCTAGGTTATTATTACTATCACACCTCTATACAATATTCACAAATATTATTGAGTAAACAGTATTAATTTCCTAAAATATGTAGATTACAATTAAGTTATTAAGACCTCAGTTCTATACACACTTACCTAGGAACAGAGGGTATTTTTCAACACACTACAGAAAAAAACAAAATAAAACAATGTAGGGATTATTAACATTAAATATATCTGAAAGAGAGTAATTCATTTAGCAATTTATGGTATTTACTCTTTAGCCTCTTGCATAATACTCATTTCTATCCCTTTCTCAATATGATGTTTGGATTTCAACGTATCTATACTGTGAGATTTTTTTCCTGCTGGTTTATGAAATGGCTGGTGATATTTAAATGGCTCATAAATCTAAAAGTAGCCCTCACCTGCATATTTGTGTTCCACAGACATAGCAGACAAGGGCACAAAAGAAAACATTGGATAAAATCATTCTAATCCCTACCCTACTATGAATAACTGGATCTACATTCATTTTTGATGTCTCAAACTGGTGGTACATCTAAGGAATGTCACATCTGCAGAATTTAAGCTCAACAGAAGTTCTAAAACACTTGAAGTCATGTACCACAAAATAGCAAGATATTTCATCTTATTAATTATGCCATCTTTATGCATTCAGAAGTAGGTTCAGAATTTGGACAGCACAGAACAGCACAAAGATTTTTTAAAACATGATCAAAGACTTGTTAAGGGCTACCAAGTAAAACCTGTGCACACATATCCCCACAGTAATGCCACAAAAGATGCACCACCTACCTCAATCCATGCTTCACGATATCACAGCTGCTAAGCAAGCAATTCTAGTACCAGGCAGCTTTTGGAGGCCAGTAGCTCTCTGCTGTGCAGTCAGATGACAAGGCAAAGGGTTTCTTCACCCAAGGCAGCCGGAGTCCTCAAAGTGCCAGAACAGATTGGTCCAGATTGAAGACAGATGGAGCTGCACTTGCTCTGCATGCAGCATGCTGGTGCATGCGGTTGTGAATCATACACTGAAGCTCACTGCTTGATCATCTGCTGTTGCCAAAGGACACTCCCCCATTCCTCCCCTCCCCATCCCCAATAGATGTACGTTACACTCTGGACCAGTTTGGCATCTTTCCATCCTACTCTCATTTGAGTGGGCCTCCTCCTTTTTCACCCTCACAAAAGAGGCAACATTGTCCCCAACCAATCAAAATACCGAAGCAAATGAGGACTATCAACGGTTGTCATAGCAACAAGCCCAGAGAGCTCTTCTCTGCATGTGATACAAAGGATAAGGGAAAAGAAAGAGGTTGAGAGATGCTCTAAGCTTTGGAAGGCAATTTTCAATTTGACAGATGCTTTCAAATGGAGCGGCATTGCTACAACATGACACTTCCCACTGACTCCCATCTCAAGCACCACATTCAGGCAATAGCCAAGCTTTTTCCCCAGAGCAATAATAGCCTTTCACATGCATGTTGGAACATGTTGGTAGGGTGAACTTAAACTCAGGACCACAGAAAGAGAATTCAAAGCAAACATCACATTGAGTATCTATTTCTAAATATTAAGGTAGCTCAGATTCTTGGATTCAAACTCCCGGAGGTGCTTTGGAGCGCTTGGCACTGCAGCTTTGAAAGACAGCCTTTTAACACAAGGAATATTGTAGATTTGACTAGGATTTAAAGTATTGCAGGGAGGGACTACATCCACACTTGGAAATGCTTTTTTGGAGATTGACTTTACACCCTACATAGACTTTCTAAACATACATTGTCATTTAATGAAAAACAATCTTGCAGCAATACAATCAACATGAACTTGAATTTTGTTAATCTTTCCAAATATTTTTGAGTATATGGATTATCTAACTAGAAACAGTTCCATATGGATTGTAAAAGTTTCTTCCAGAATCAGTTAAACATTTTAAAAATATTACTTTCATCCTCCTTTTGGAGTAGCAGTACTGTTGCAATTATGGATGTATTGTTGTTCCTTTGGGAGTAGATTTAGAGAAGCTAAAACCTATCTTCTTCATATTCCATTGGTTGGACCCAAACTTCCACAGAATACAATAAAAAGCAACTTAATAATATTGAAACAGCAATATTGTAAAAGTATATTTGAGATTTATCTTTGCTTAAAATAGGTCTTGAGATCCAGTGTGGTTTAGTGGTTAAGGCATCAGGCTAGAAACCAGGAGACTGTGAATTCTAGTCCCACCTTGGCATGAAGGCAGCTGAGTGAACTTGGGCTAGTAACTTTCCTTCAACCTTAGAAAGGAAACAATGGCTAACCACTTTTGAAAAAAGTTGCCAAGAAAACTGCAGGAACTTTTCCAGGCAATCTCTGAGAATTGGATACAATTTAATTGAGGGGGGGGGGGGAAGCCTTAATATTGTGAATCATGTTGGGGAAAAGATTGGAATAATCTTCAAGGCTAAATGCCTAGTGGACAATTACCTTCAGGTATGAAATCTTTATAGTTATTGGACAACTACTCCTTTCATTCTGCTGATGATAGAATAGAGGAAATACAATTTTTTCAAATGGAAGCACACTGGCCAGATCACCTTAAGACTGAATTTTTATTGAAAACTCAGAAGACAGTCATTGCCTGGTGTTCGACAGCTTTTGCCTGTGAAGCATTTCAGCAAAACAAACATAATCTTCCTCAGTTTGTAAATCTAACTTCTCCTGATTTTAATTGTGTCTTTTAAAACTATTGTTTTTTAATAAAGATTTTTTTATTTTTGAATAAACACAAACAGACAAGACACACACACACACAAAAACATCACAAAACCATCTTCCATTACAAATTGTAGGAAGTGTGTTGATTGGTTACAAAAACTTCCGTGCATCCCTTCCACAGTCATCACCTAGAATTCATATCAAATCATATATTTTAAATCAACTTTATTTATATATATTACTATCATCATACCTCAACCTTCATTTGACTATAATTGTTTTTATGTCCTTTTATATAAAATATTCCAAATGTAAAGTAAAACCATATAATAGCATCCCATTAGCTCTTTCCAATATCATCCAGTAACATTACATCTTTATAACATTTTCTAATTAAAAATTGGTTATATTTAATAACAGAGTTTCTAAACCTCTTTTCGTAGTCACCATTTGCAATTTATATCAAACTTCCTCTTATCAAACCAATATATACATATATATCTATCTATATGCATATCTATATGCATATCTATATGCATATCTATATGCATGTCTATATGCATGTCTATATCTATATCTATATCTATATCTATATCTATATCTATATCTATATCTATATCTATATCTATATCTATATCTATATCTATATCTATATC